TAGTTCCCATTGATTTAGCTTGGAAAGCGGGGAGAATGGCGCTAGGCTTACCGCACCGTGACGTCACTGCTGGAAGATGGCAGGAGGGAGGGGCTACTAGATTTGGGCAGAAAAATGGCCGCTCAGACTCGTGACGATTTTTTTACTGACCAACGGTAAATTCATTAAATAACCGCATTTGTATTAGTTTTAGGTATAAATAATGATCCATTAAATAGTATCAGTAATGTTGGGATCAGCAAAGGTTTGCTTTAATGTCCCTGAAGCAGCAGCATCAATAAGTTCTACAAACTAAAGGCCTGATGGCAGCCATGTTGGATTTGTGAAACAGTTTTCAAATGTAAATAAAAGTCTGCAAGAAAATCGTATCTTTTTTTTTTTTCAGTTTAAAAAGTCAAAATTCAAAGCAAGGACAGAAGCTGAACTTCATGTCTAACAGCGACGCTCGTCTGAATGATCCGTTTGAACCTGGAACATCTGCAAAGTGAAGCCTGGCTCCCTCTCTGGAACAGAAATCTGATCCTCTGATTCTGAGACTCGGAGCCATAAAAGACTTTAAATATTTTCTGTGAACAGAAGCGGAGCTTAAAGCCAGACCGTCTCTGAGCTCTGAGGTTGGATTCTGCCTGAACTCTGAAGCTAAATAAAGCGACTGAAGTACGAGGAGAAACCCGCAGCTGTGTTTGTTCTGAGGCGACTCTGCAGCTCCAGATAAAACGCTCGCTCATCCCGCCGCAGCTCTTCCTCCGGCTTTAACGAGACTCCGAGGCAGACGGAGAGGATGACCTTGGGTGCTGCTTACAGAGGATGAAGACGTCTTTGGAAGAAAAGGCCGGTTGTTGAAGCTGCAGATGTTCAAACAGGTTTCACCTCCTCCAAGCCTCTGCTTCACCGTCCAATCAGCTCAGCGCAGGAAAGCCGTAATTATCTGCAGCCTCCTCAGGACTCCACATATTCAGACCGACCTCCATCAGGGGACGAACTCGGATCTGCTTTGATTAACACGACATTTCTCACAGGTTTGTTTAGTTTTCAGCCTTTTTTCTGCAGCTGAGGGAGCAGAACTAAAGGTTGGAGATCTTTGAAACTAAACAGTTTTATATTTGAAGCCTTCAGAAGAAAGGATGGAGAAAAATAACATTTCAGAAAGAACCTCTGAGGCAATTATTTTTATAACTGTCAATCTTCAATGTGTAATAAGGTCAGCAGGAGGCGCTCATGGTAACTTCACACATCTCTGCTGCCCCAGTTGAAAAATGTCAAATTAGATAAAATATTTACTGCATCATCCAAACTCCAGCGAAGTTCTGCAGAACGTCACACCTCCCTGCAACAATGCAGACATGTTTGCTCTCACTAAAACTCATCCCTGACTCAGCAGGCAGGTTCTGAGAGGCCACCTCTCATCGGCCTCTAGGATAAAATAAAACATCTCAAATGAAGAGCGCTCACTCTGATTGGTTTATAGGAGCAGCAAAATGACGCCAGCCGACCGAAACTTGACGACCCGATCAGACAACATGACACCAGAATAATAGACTCAGTTATTAATAAATAAGATAATTATGCTCCTCTAAAAGCCAAAGTCATGAAAACTCAAACCTGGCTGCTCATAGAGTGCAGGATCCTTTTGGAAAATTGAGTGGAAGGAAAAAAAAGACTCTTCAATGAGACGAAGGGATCATTTAAACCTTTAGAGGATTGGTAAGAAAAGCCTTTTCTAAAGTAGCAGCAAGAGTAAAAACTTTCCTGTTTGTAATAATAAATGTAATGTAAGGGTTCCTCCAGCATAAGGCGAGTTAAATTCAAGACGTTTTAAGACTTTTTAATGCCACTTGAAAATTCACAAGAAAAACCTGCTTGCGACAACCTAACCCAAAGGTTTATTTTAACATAAACCGCTGCACTAATGTTTCAAATGTTGAAAAGCTTCCCATACAGGAAGAAAGCTAAAAACACACAAATGACAGATATATTTGAACAATTATTTAACTGAATTCACAAACTTTGTTTTAGCAGGGAACAAAACTAATCAGTTTTAAAGCCCCAACATAACCAGTGCTAAGTCTTTTTAGCAGCTATTTTTCTTTGTATGGTTTTCTTAGTATGTTTGATTTGGTGATAAGTGGAGGCGTTGCAGAGACAAGGGTGGAACTAAACTGAGAAATACCGGCTGTTTCTCTCTAACTCCATTTTGACGCTTTGTGTTTCGTGCTTCGCATGTGCGACTCCACTGCCTTAATTCCCATCGTTCTGAGCTTGAATGACTTCTTGCACTAAATCCACTGAGCCTCATGGATGTTTTTTAATTAAAAAAAAAAAAGGTCAATTTTAATGTTTTATTTAGATTACAAAAATAAATCATAATAAAAATAATCCTATTTATGATGTTTTAAAAAATAAGACCTACGAAAGACTGATTTAAGACATTTTAATACCAATTAAGGCCTTAGTTTTATTTTGAAGAATTCAATGCCTTTTAAGACTTTTCAAGGACCTGCAGGAAGCCTGCATGTAAGAGTTTTACCTTTTGAATTAGGACAGTGAAAAACTATTTATTTAGACTTTTCTGAATATTCAGCATGTTGCAAATGATTGGGTGATAAAAAAGGAAAAAAATCGGGTTTATTTAGCAGAAACAGCCATCTGTTTTGATTTAATATCATTAAAAGGACAGATCACTTAAATAAATGTGCAGAGTTATAAAGTAGAACCTGATAATATCTGATTGATGCATCTCAACCCCGAACTACTGTTGTTCACCTTCACAGAGGAAATATGAATAATTTAAATGGAAATTGTGTCATTTCCCCCTTTATGGGCTCAGTGAGGAGAAGGATGGGCAGATGAGGGATAAAGCCGGAGCCTGGGGGCCCCGAGGCCGGGCCCTCCTCTCTGTAGAGGCCCTACTGGTGGAGGGATGGCGCTGAATATAAAGCACCAGGAAGTGGAGAAGCTGCAGCCTGAATGCCAATAAACAGGAAGAGGACGTCTGCAGAGGAGAGCTGCTGTCTGCTCATTTTCTGTCACATTAAAGGCCTCAGTGGAAAAACTATGCAGTAAATATGGATTTATTATAATATTCATAATATTTGGAAAGTGCATGAGTTTCATTTTATCAAGCAAAGGAAACGTGAGCAGAGGAAACGTGAGCAGAGGAAACGTGAGCAGAGGAAACGTGAGCAGAGGAAACGTGAGCAGAGGAAACACTGCAGCAGGAGGCAGAACTCCTCTCCTGCATTTAAACCGGGTTCATGGCGCCGAACGACGCCTCTGCAGCGCGACGCGACGTACGAGCTTTTAAACATCTAAGGTTTTATTTCCTCATAGAGGGGATTGGCTCCGCCCACTCTGCAGGTGAGGCTTACCTGGGCAGGAGGCAGCAGCTCTCCGCTTCTCCGGCCGCCGCTGAAGGGGACGGCGCCGGCCGTCGCCCTGCCGGCCGCCTGGAGGTTGATGGGGGATGTCTGCAGCGGCTCCGGCCCCGCCGCCTTCTGGCCGTTAATGTGTGCCGTCACCATGGAAACGGGAGCCTTGGCCGGCACCACGGAGATGGCGATGCTCTGGCTGGGGGGCTTGATGAGCGATAGCGGCTTGGTGGTCCCCACGGGACAGCTCCGAACAGCCAGCTTCTGCAGGGAGACAGAAAGGTGTGTTTATACTTCATCATGTCCGACCAGAAGACCCTCCCCCATCCTCAGAAAGGTTCCCCCCCCATCCGCACTAAATATTTCATCTGCTGCTCCAGTCGCCGCTTTACATGCAGAAAACAAAAGAGCCCAAAGTGTCTTCACCTCCCTGCAAACAGCAGAGCTTCTAGAAACATCCTGAACGTTTAAAGGATTCGTTTCCTTCATTCTGAGCTGCGATGGAAGCAAAGCGCCGCAATTCTTCCACATCAGTTTACAGATTTTAGTGAAATTCCCAGTGGATCCAGAACGTCCCCCTGCACCGTCCACCAGTTCAGACCCTTTTGTTTCAGGGAATCAATGGAATCCACAGGCGGCTGCATCAGGACCCGGGGGCCGCCGCTCGCTATTCAGAGCCGGGGGCCCCTCTGATTGTCTGAAAGGTCACTCACTGAAAGCCTCTGCAGGCTGGAGAGCAGAGTGGGGGGGGGGGTGTCTGTTAAAGGGCTTCTATGACCAACCTGGGATCAGATTTATGGAGATTTTAACCACATTTTATACAATAAACTTTAAAACAGAAGGGATGAATTAAATTTACAGACTTTAAGGATTTAATTCGACCAATCCACCGGCATTCATGGGTTTGATCCTGCAACTTCAGGGTTTTTAGAACCAAATCAAACTAACGATGGTCTAAAGGTAAAGATGTCCTCTTTATAACAGCAGTTAGAGATTCAACCATTACTGGGATGTTAGGATCCGGATCCATCACAGACTTCATCCGTTTTATACGATCAAAGCATCGCCGTAACTGAAGGAATAAATGATTAAAAGTCATAAAGTAGTTTTATGTTCATGAGCAGCGATGAAGCTGCAGGTCCAACTCTTTCCTTCTGGGTTAGATGGGATCCAGCTGCCTCTTCCTCCACCTTCAGGGCGGCTCAGAGGAGCTGACTGCGTGTTTTAACCAACAGCTGCTAAAGGAAACGCCACAGAGGAGCGAGCCTCCATCATAACCCCCCCCCAGGCAGCTGATAGATGGGAGTGATCCGCAGACCGACTCTAACCTGACAGAAACATTAACGGCAGCATAAGAGGCCCTAACGAGCCCTTTTCTCCACACGTCTGCGGAGGTAGATGAGGAGGCAGCGGCTTTCATCAAGACCAGCTCGCCGCTCACCTTTCATCTAATGATGACGGAGGAAATGTGCTTTCTGATGCCCTCCACGCCGCAGCTCCACAGCTGATGATGCACTACACAGAGAACATCAAAGCGGTGCAAATCACCAGCTGTTTACCAGGAGCTGGAAGAGCTGAAGCAGCTTCTGTTTCCTGGGATCTGCTGATGTTCAGGTGGAGAAAGTGGGAAGAAGAAGCTGGTGAGTCTCAGTCATCCAGCTCATTGTAGTTCCAACAAAGTTTTAAAAAACAATCCACTGGACTTTGTTTCCAAGTTTGAAGATGTTTCTCTTCCCATCCAGGAAGCTTTTTCTATTAAACATGTCAGAAATAGTTTGAGGTTTTATCCAGCAGCCCAACAAAGCTTTTAGAAAACATGCAAACTGAAGCGGAGCAATGAATCCCCCCCTTTGGAATGGGGGACGTTTGGCTTCTTTGTTAGCCTGTAATGCCCCATACCGGTCTATGTCTCTGAAAGGGGGGCAGGGGTTAA